TCTTTTCCTGCTTCTTTGCATGCCTGTTAATTTTGTATTGGACGCTAGGCATTGTGGATTTTTTGTATTAGATATTTTTGTATTCCTATAAATATTTTTTAGCTTTGTTCTGGGATGCAGTTAAGTTATTTGGAAAGTCTGATCCTTTCAGGCCTTGCTTTACACTTTGTCAGGCAGGACCCAACAAAGTCCTAATGTTTATCACATTATGAAGCAAAACTCTTCTATTTTACTCAATGCCCTGTGGATTATGAGACTTTCCACTCTGCTGGTGGAAATCAGAAGTATGCTTGGCCTTGTATATGCTCCGGAGATGGTTCCTTGCAAATTCTCTGAGTGGTCCTTGCACTAGCTTCAGGAAATTTACTCACCTGCATGCCCTGATGAAGTAATCAGCTAAATATTTGAGAAGAATCCTCTGACTGTCTCTGGAGTTCTTTGTGAAGCTCTACCCTCTCTGGCATTTTGCCCTGCAAACTCTTGCTACCTTGGCCTCCACAAATTCCCAGCTCCATTTCCATCTCCACTGGTATCTACATGGTTTTCCCCTCCTTGAGCTATGACCTGGAAACTCTACAGGAAGTAAGCCAGGCAACTGTAGTGCTCACCTTACTTCTTTCCATCTTCATAGGTTATTATCTTTCATTGCCTGGTGAACAGTATTTTGAAAGCTATTGTTTCATATATTTTGCATGATTTCTTTAGTTGTTTCAGATGTGAAGGCAAATCTAATGCCTGTTAGTCCTCTTGGCAGAAAGTGGAGGATCAAGAGCTCTATTGTGGACAGGTTCAATTAAAGATGTCTATTGGCATCCCAGAAGAAGTGTCAAGTAGGCAGCTGGATTAAAAGTCTAGAGCTGAAGATACCAGGGATCCAGGCATATATTTATGAGAAGCCAGAGTACAGGTGGAATTTAAAGCTATGGAAATGAATGAAATAACTTAAGAAAGGGGATGGCAAACTATGGCTCACAGACCAAATTTGGCCTCATGATTTTTTTTTTAAATGAGTTTATTAAAAAAGCCTTGCACATTTGTTTTCATATTGTTTAAGGCTGCTTCTGCACGACAACATAAAAGTTGAGTAGTTGTGACAGAGACATGTACAGATGTATGGAATGAATGTAGACAGAGAAGCTAGTGGATTGAATTCTGGAGTACTCCTCAGTTTTGAAGTTCAAACAGATGAGAAGGAATCAGGAAGTACTGAGGTAGGAAAAAAACCAAAAGACTGATTTTTTCGAGTTGAAAAAAAAAAGTGGATCAAGAAAAGGGAGTCAACTCTGTGAAATGGTGCTGAAAGGCTAAGCAAGATGAAGACTAATAAACGACCAGTGTAGATTTAGTAAAGTGGTCACTTTTGCAGTTTTAGTGAAGTGGTGGTCATCGTGGGTAGGGTTGATAGCCAATTAAAGAAGAGAAGAGAATATGAAGTGAAAAAGTGAGACAGTGGGTCAGCCTTTTTGAGAACTTTTGCTAAAAACGGAGGAAAGAAATGCGAAGATGTGCAGTTTAGGGAGGTTTTTAAAAAATGAGCACATTTTATTAGCACATTTTTATGTTGATGAATATGCTCTACTAGAGAAGCAAAACTAATGATGATGTGCAGGATTGGATGGAGAGAGATACTGAAGGAATAGGGGAGGAAATGGGACAAGGGCTGCTAGCGGATGCTCCAGCTGAGGCAAGTGGGATGCCTTCAGTTATTGGCTGAGCTGGCTGGGTGGCTGCAGCAGCTGTGGTAGGAACAGATGAGTATTTCCACAGTTGTTACAGGATGTATTTCACAGAGAAATACTTGGAGATATAGGGAAATTTATATTCCAATACCAAAAGATTTGTGTAATTCATAATAAAGCTAAACTATATCCTTATGGTATATATATTTTAATATAACTGGTAATACAGTACTATTAGGACCAGAGTTCAGCTACATTAAAAGTTGAAAAAACTCAGACTCGCTAAAGGACTAAAATGATCATTTTAAAGACTATTTTAATAGGAAATGTTTCAAAGTTTTTAATAAGAAATTTATAGAAAACTTTTAAGACTCAGCTTAGTTTTAAATTAAGGATGGTGAACTTACCAATCCTCATCAGCTAAAAGCCTGAGAGCTTCTGTCAGTGCTATTTCTGGTTTGGAAAATGGCTGTAGTTCTGATGAGTCCATTATCTCTGGACTTTGAGTGACAGGAGATATCCTTTCTTTATACTGTGAAATGGTTCTAGGAGATGCTTCACCTAAAATAAAAAAATTTATATTAATAAAGCATTGGAGAACTTTGATACAAAGGGATACAAATGGTCTTCTCACTACAGATTCTATGAATATTTCTTACAGAAACAATTACTATTAGTTCAATCAGTAACAAAATTATAATACCCAGACACTAAAACTATTTAAAACTTTACTTTTTATATACAAAATTATTGAAGTACATTAAATATAAATATGTAAGTGGATTTTCAGTCATGTGTCATATAACAAAGTCTAGCTTTAAGAGCTAAAGTCAATAAGAATTATATTATTTTGCAAAAACACATGGATATATGCCTCTTTTATTATACAAGTAACAACTGAAAATGAAGCTTCATGGCATCTGTATATATATAATTCTAAAAATACCAACCTTTGGTACTAGTATAGAATTATGATCTATTACAAATCCTAAGACCTATGTGTAGTAGTAAGAACACTGTTTCTTCCATAATAAGACATTTTACCAACCATTTACCACATGTAAGGAACTACCCTAGATGTTTGGAAACAAATCACTGTCAGAGTGCTCAGATAATGCCCTGAGGGCACTGTACACATGTCCAGTGAAGGTGTTAGGAAGGAAAAGAAAAAAAGATCAAATAAAATGTATAATGGCTTTTGTAAATGGGTAAAGATTTATTACCTTTTTTTATGTTAAGAAATATTTTTAAAAAGATAATATTAGGCACTAGAAAATGATCTCATATAAGTATTTATCAGCCATGTTATTTGTAAGAAAATGTTATATGAAATACATGAGATACACAAATATAAGAAATTTCACCTGATACTATATACTAATTACATATTCAGATGCATCATTTAAAATCCAAAGGCAATGATGTATTAACAATATTAGTTAACATTTGTTAAGTACTTGGTGCCAGATCTTATGATAAATGCATTACAAAGTTTACTATACTTAACTCTCTCAACAAAGGTGAAACAGATACTCTATCTCTGCTTTGCAGCTGAGAGAAATTGAGTTTTACAGAAGCAAAGAAATTTGTTCACAGTCTCAATGCTAATGAGTGGCAAAGGCAGCTTAGATCTAGGTCCACTATCACCTTTGATTTCGTATAAAGAAGTCTAAGACAGAATCCCTTCTTTCCAGAAATTTATCACATTCCTTATAAGAAGAGATATGCAAAAAAGATAAATATGATATTCTGGTTACTGCAGTGATACATTAGTACTAGTTTTTGTTAGGGTAAATCATGTATAAAGATGATTATGTGACAATAAAAGAATATAGTAAAGAGATCTCACTTTATTTTTTTTAAGACTTACATGTACCCTCTTTAGGTTTCATATGTAGGACTGATGTATATAAATAAAATCCCTCAGCCTTGGAATTTCATAGCCCAGAAAGAATAGCAAATACAAAATAGCACTACTAACCATCATTTATTGAGATCTTGCTTAGCATTGTGCTTCATTTATAATATCTTATTTGATTCATTTAACACCCTATGTTATAATTATTATTACTCTTCCATTACAGATGAAGAAAGTATTGCTAAAGATTAAAGAATTCCTTCTGTGTATCTACTCCATCACTACTCTCATGAGAGCGTAACTCATTAGTAAGAGATGCAGGTAAACAACAAATTTTTAACCTCAGGGTTATACTAGTATCTTTACTGTTTTTACATGAAAAAGGTGAAATGAAACAAAATGAAACAAATATTATTATGGAAATAGAGCTATATAGAATATCAATCTAAAGCAGTGCTGCTTAAGCTAAGTTTTTTTTTTATTTCTATTCTTGAAGACTGATACTTTACAAAATAAAATTATCATGGCAATGTGAAATTGTTAAAATCATTTCTAAAAGTTTATTCTCACTTTTTGTATTTAACTTGTAAGCATATTCTTCAGTTCAAATAATACAAGGGTGACTTCAAGGAAGTACTCTCATTATACTTAAAAGCAAAATCTGTAAAGCCTACATCATAGGCAAAAACCATAAAATTTGTTTCTAGCAACAATGAATGAATACCTAAAAATTTATGATTTATTACCATTTGTACTATTTGCTACTATCTGCACTTCTATTCCTACTGTTAATAGTAGCAGCCCAGGATTCTTACTGGCTTAGGTAGGAAGTTTTATGTGTTTTACTCCCTCATTAATAAATGAATAGTGAAATTATTTGAGAATGCTAACAAACAGGCTTAAACTTCACAAATGCCTACATTTAACTGGTTCTTAGGACCATGTTTAACCAATAATTTTACAGGCCAACACCCTAACACCTCTCATCACTTACACTCTCAACAATTACTACTTTTAAGAATACAGAATTTTAGGATGTTTCCTATACTACTTGCAATATAAAGGAAATATGAATTAGGAAGAATCTTAGACATTTATTTAGCTCAAATCTGTTTAATATTTATCTTTGAGAGAGGTTAAGTATGTTGTCCAAATTCAAAATTATGTTTATTTTTTCTGTACCTTGTGGGTTTTTTGTTGATATCTAGACTTTAGACCTAACATGTATTTAAGAATGTTTAATTCACAGATTATTTCTTAGAATAATTAACAATAAAAATAACAAGCAATAATCTGTAATGTTTATTATAGTTCACACAATTTTTATTTCAACCTCTGATTTTCCCACTTGCTACTATATGTAAGATCTATTCAATATTAAAAACAAACAAACAAGCAAACATGGAGACTATTCTTGGCTAGGTATAGCACTTGGTGAGCAGTCAATGGTAGGCTGAATAAATGACAAATGCAGTAACATTTCAAAATCATGATCTAAAAATATACACCAACTTCACAGTCTCAGTTACATTAGCTATAAAATGGGGTACACTCTTTAGTGAGATAGGAGTATCTTCAAGAAACATGAGAGAGATCTCTGAGATAATCTGGACCTGAAATATTTTAGGTATTTGTAAGGGCAGAAAACTGAGGCCTATATCCAGGTCGCAAAGCTAATTAAAAGGCAGAATTGATACTTAAGAAGTCAAGTTTGTCAGCTGACTCCTACTAGTTTTAGTGCTCTTACCATCACAAATGCTCTGTACCACATGTGATTTCTACAATTGTAACAAGCATTTGTGACATTATTCACATTTAAACAAGTGACTTACCTGAATCTGAAAAAACTAAAGATGCTGACCTTTTTAAACTGGTCCCTGCTTTCAATGGAGGACTGAAGGCAATGTTTGCTAAAAGGGAACACTCATTTTTTGATATCCCCACCTCATCTCCAAAAACATTTAAGTCTAGAAGGGAGAAAAACAATTAGTCAACTTCTTTTTTATGAGAAATAATTAATATTATAAGAGTTAGAAGCTACTGGGTCTCTGGGTCTTGCAGATTTCGGTGCTATAGTTCAACAGATGTCTTAGCCATATACCTTCAGTTAAACCGTAGTAATGGCTTTAAAATATTACTAGTAAAAAAAACACACCAGAAGTCCCACTTACTTTCAGAAGCTATTTTCTTAGTACCTGTATGTTTAAATTGTTCCCAGGGATTCTGTTCCTTCTTTTCACAATCTTTAATGTCAAGAGGTTCTTTTTCCTCTTTTCTTCTCTGTCTCATCTTGTCATAAGTAGATTTTGTAATAGAAACTTTAATCTGCATATAAAAGTTAAAGTATCTGAAAGTATTCATGGAATTTGACATTTAAGAAAACTATTTTAATTTAGACAACTATACATACCCATTAAATATTTATACACAAAATAAACTGTACATTTTTTAGTTCTTACTTAAGGAATTCTAAAATAGAACAGAATCACACAGTGCTAATAAACAACTAAATTTGTACCTGAGGGTACTAGCCTGTTATTCCTGAAGTGTATCTTAGAAAATTGTTGGATATATACATACACAAACATACATGTATATAAAGCACATGTATAGTAGAAAGTACACTAGACACTTCACACCAGAAGGAGAACATATTTTGTGAGAAAGAATAATCTATTATTCAAATGACTAAGGATCAGAAATTCCAATTACCCTGAGATTTCAAAACTTCTAAACCAAACACTTACCACCCCACATCTGATATACACAAAACAATGATGTATTATAAGCTTGAATTTATCCTAATAATTAGTAAATAACCTTACATCTTTTTCATTCTCAACATCAACAAATGATGGAATACTCTGGGTGACTGCTTTTCCATATATCCCTGATGGTGGTTCAATACTTTCTTTAATTGGAAATGTATCCCCATTTTCCACAGAAGATATCATTGATTGGCAGGAAGCTGCCAGTGCTGAATTTGGATTTCCAAATACACCTGAAATCAACCAACCACCAAATTGTAAGTATTTATGTGATGTCACTCTGAATAACAAAGTTTAGATGAGGCTTTTGTCTTCAAGAAGTAAACAATACAGTTTGTGGCAAAAACATATCAAATAATCATAAAATATAAAAACAAATACTCTAACAGGATGATAATATAAGAGGTATCATAAAACATTTCATGATAATATCAAATGAGAAGTCCTTATTTCAAGTGCTGAGGTCACATGCAAGAAAGGTTGGTGTGATCTGGATGTTTAAGATGGTTTCAAGGAGCAAGGATTTGAGCAGGGGTTGGAAGACAGTGAATGTGGACAGACAAGTGAGGAAAGAGGGCAGGACATCCTGTGAGATGGGGATGCTTATAAGCAGAGCTTAACAAGTGTACGGCATATATGTGAAGTCACTAAATTAGTTTGGTTGGGCAAAAGGCAAATAGAGGAATAACAGAAAATAAGTTTGGCAATCTGAGGAGGGCCTTAAATAAACTTCATGAGACTCTATCAAGGAAAGAATTTAGGAAAGCTTTTCAAGCATTTCATTCTATTTACCAAAAATAAAATTATATCCTCAATGTCTATCATCACATTCAGTTTTTAAATTAAAAAAGGAACTAGTTGGGATGTGTTAATTAACTCGGGGGAATCCTTTTACAATGTATATGGATTAAAAATTATCACACTGTACACTTTAAATTATCTTAAAATTTTGTCAATATACCTCAATAAAACTGAAAAACCCAAATTAGTTTAAAATAATTTTTGCAAATATGTTGTTCAAAGGTCCCCTCTCCTAACCATCCCCTAAAATCTGTAATGCGTGCTAATTCTGATGGCTAGATTTTGTATAGGAGATCATAATATTATATTTATGCTGATTAAACTAATACAGATACCATTTGAATTTAAACTATAGTAAAACTGTCTTAGCGATCCTTAAAGTGTCTTTAGAAGTACCTAAATTGCAGCTGTCACATAATACATCTCTCTGAAAATTACTGACATGAATTTACTGTAGTTTTGTTACAGGGTATAAATGTGAAGTTAGGTATTCACTTCTGTCTTTCAACTCAATAATTTTTTAAAGATAGGGTTTTATTCAACATTTAAGTCACACTATTCTTTATTGATATGCTTTGCTTATGTGTGAAGAACACATATAATTCAAAAGCTAAATAACTTTGAAATACCTTTTCCAACAACTACTACTGAGTCTTCTGATAAAGTATGTGTACATGTGAAGTCAAAACTGGAAATCTGCTGTGAATTTGATGACACTGTAAATCCTGAAAAAAGAAACAAACAAACCCAAATTTAAAAATACTAACTTATATGGTATTTTAGGATATTGTAATGTGGTCTTTTAAAAATTTATTTAATATAATGAATTTATAATTTATTCACAAGTTCATTGTTCAATAAATATTTATCACTAAAATACCTAGATGGACTAGGCACTAAAGAGAAAAGAAACCCTCCTTCCCTTAAGGACTTTATGCATGACAGGGTTAAGAGGGAAACATATACAAGAGAATAATCACTGCATGATAATTGAAAGACAAAAGGATAACCACGAAGGAAAGCCTCTAACCCCTGAAAACAGATCAAGTCAATCTTACAGCAATCTGTATTTTTCTAGGTTAATTTTACTTCATTTTGTGATTATTTAATTATTTTCTCTCTTACTTGGCTATAAATTCTATGGGGATAGGACCTTTGTCTAGTTTTGATTATCATTCTTATGTACAGCCTCTTAGTATGGCACATAGTACTTATTCAATAAATATGTAAGATGAATATTACAAGGAAGAAAAATGAATAGCAAAATAAAATTTAGAGCCAACTAACAGACACATCAGGTAGCCCCAAAAGGTGTTCAGTGACAAAGGGAAGCAGATACCAGTAAATGGAAAAATTTGCTCAACAATAGTCCACAAACATAAAAATCTATACCTAAACTATGAAGAGATGATTGAATAATTAGAAATATATAAAGGACATGTTATCTTCAAGTAATTGAACTGCATTTATCATACAAGCTGACAAAACTAATCACTTTTAATGTTACTTTTACTTTTTAAACCATATTTTCTTCTAAAGAAATATTGAAAAATATCACTTATTAAGTCTCAATTGTAAAATATGAATGCTTAAAAATATGCTTAAAAGATTCTTCACATATAAATTGGCCTTATATAACCCCTTTCGCTACTTCTGTCCAATTTATTCAAATAGAGAAAGAGAAAATATTAACATACGGAATCCAGTTTGCTAATACTCCAAGCATCCATCATTAAACACTTTCTCAAGCCATTAATTGCGGCTCTAGGTTATTATCCTAGAAAATAAGCAGGCTCAAAGGAACAAGCATCAGAGAGGAATGAGAAGAAAAAAAGGTGATTCTGAGAGCTAATCATAAAAAAAAATCTGAGGTTTCTTGCAAAATGAATACAATGAATTCTCACTGCCAGTATTTCTACTCGTCTTATTTTTTTAATATACATTGTATATTTTTATTAAAGTATCATTGATACACAATCTCTTTTTTTTGGTATAATTAATCTACAATTACATGAGGAACATTATGTTTACTAGACTCCACCCATCACCAAGTCCCCACAACAAACCCAATTACAGTCACTGTCCATCAGCATAGTAAGATGCTGTAGAATCACTGCTTGCCTTCTCTGTGTTGCACAGCCCTCCTGGAGCCCCTCCCTACATTATACATGCTATTTGTAATAACCCCTTTCTTTTACCTCCCCCTTACCCTCCCTTCTCACCCATCCTCCCCAGTCCCTTTCCCTTTGGTAACTGTTAGTCCATTCTTGGGTTCTGTGTTTCTGCTGTTGTTTTGTTCCTTCAGTTTTTTCTTTGTTCTTACACTCCACATGAGTGAAATCATTTGGTACTTCTCTTTCTCTGCCTGGCTTATTTCACTGAGCATAATACCCTCTAGCTTCATCCATGTTGTTGCAAATTGTAGGATTTGTTTTCTTATTGGCTCAATAATATTCCATTGTGTATATGTACCACATCTTCTTTATACATTCATCTACTGATGGACACTTAGGTTGCTTCCATTTCTTGGCTACTGTAAATAGTGCTGCGATGAACATAGGGGTGCATATATCTTTTTGAAACTGGGATGCTGCATTCTTAGGTTAAATTCCTAGAAGTGGAATTCCTGGATCAAATGGTATTTCTATTTTGAGCTTTACGAGGACCTCCACACTGCTTTCCACAATGGTTGACCTAGTTTACATTCCCACCAGCAGTGGCGGAGGGTTCCCGTTTCCCCACAATCTAGCCAACATTTGTTGTTGTTTGTCTTTTGGATGGTGGCAATCCTTACTGGTATGAGGTGATATCTCACTGTGGTTTTAATTTGCATTTCTTTGATGACTAGCGATGTGGAGCATCTTTTCATGTGTCTGTTGGCTATCTGAATTTCGTCTTTGGAGAACTGCCTGTTTAGCTCCTCTGCCCATTTTTTAATTGGATTTTTTGCTTTTTGTTTGTTGAGGTGCGTGAACTCTTTAAATATTTTGGATGTCAACCCTTTAATCAGATCAGTCATTTATGAATATATTCTCCCATACTGTATGATGCCTTTTTATTCTCTTGGTGGTGTCGTTTGCTGTACACAAGCTTTTTAGCTTGATAGAGTCCCACTTGTTCATTTTTGCTTTTGTTTCCCTAGCCCGGGGAGATATGTTCATGAAGAAGTCACTCATGTTTATGTCCAAGAGATTTTTGCCTATGTTTTTTTCTAAGAGTTTTATGGTTTCATGACTTACTTTTAGGTCTTTGATCCATTTTGAATTTACTTTTGTGTATGGGGTTATACAATGATCCAGTTTCATTCTCTTACATGTAGCTGTCCAGTTTTGCCAACACCAGCTGTTGAAGAGGCTGTCATTTCTCCATTGTATGTCCATGGCTCCTTTATCATACATTAATTGACCATGTATGTTTGGATTAATATCTGAACTCTCTATTATGTTCCACTGGTCTGTGGCTCTGTTCTTGTGCCAGTACCAAATTGTCTTGATTACTGTGGCTTTGTAGTACAGCATGAAGTTGGGAAATGAGATGCCCCTTGCTTTATTCTTCCTTCTCAGGATTGCTTTGGCTATTCGAGGTCCTTTATGGTTCCACATGAATTTCAAAACTATTTGTTCCAGTTTGTTGAACAATGTTGTTGGTATTTTGATAGGCATTGCATTGAATCTGTAGATTGCTTTAGGCAGGATGGCCATTTTGACATTAATCCTTCCTAGCCAAGAGCATGGAATGAGTTTCCATTTGTTAGTGTCCTCTTTAATTTCTCTTAAGAGTGTCTTGTAGTTTTCAGGGTATAAGTCTTTCACTTCCTTGGTTAGGTTTATTCCTAGGTATTTTATTCTTTTTGATGCAATTGTGAATGGAATTGTTTTCCTGGTTTCTCTTTCTGTTAATTCATCCTTAGTGTATAGGAAAGTAACAGAGTTCTGTGTATTAATTTTGTATCATGCAACTTTGCTTAATTCAGATATCAGTTCTAGTAGTTTTAGTGTGGAGTTTTTAGGGTTTTTTATGTACAATATCATGTCATCTGCAAATAGTGACAGTTTGACTTCTTCTTTACTGATCTTGATTCCTTATATTTCTTTGTTTTACCTAATTGCCATGGTTAGGACCTACAGTACAATGTTGAATAACAGTGGGGAGAGTGGGCATCCGTGTTGTTCCTGAACTTAGAGGAAATGCTTTCAACTTCTCGCTGTTCGGTAAGATGTTGGCTGTGGGTTTTTCATATATGGCCTTTTTATGTTGAGGTACTTGCCCTCTATACCCATTTTGCTGAGAGTTTTTATCATGAATGGATGTTGAATTTTGTCGAATGCTTTTTCAGCATCTATGGAAATGATCATGTGATTTTTGTCCTTTTTGTTGATGTGGTGGATGATGTTGATGGATTTTTGAATGTTGTACCATCCTTGCATCCCTGGGATGAATCCCACTTGGTCACAGGGTATGATCCTCTTGATGTATTTTTGAATTCGGTTTGCTAATATTTTGTTGAGTATTTTTGCATCTATGTTCATCAGGGATATTGGCCTGTAATTTTTTTTTTTTTTTGGTGGGGTCTTTGCCTGGTTTTGGTATTAGGGTGATGTTGGCTTCATAGAATGAGTCCGGAAGTATTCCCTCTTCTTCTATTTTTTGGAAAACTTTAACGAGAATGGGTATTATGTCTTCTCTGTATGTCTGATAAAATTCACCAGTGAATCCATATGGCACAGGGATTTTGTTCTTGGGTAGTGTTTTGATTACCGATTCAATTTCTTTGCTGGTAATTGGGAGATTTTCTGTTTCTTCCTTGGTCAGTCTTGGAAGGCTGTATTTTTCTAGGAAGTTGTCAATTTCTTCTAGGTTTTGCAGCTTGTTAGCATATTGATTTTTGTAGTATTCTCTAATAATTTTTTGTATTTCTGTGGGGTCTGTCGTGATTTTTCCTTTCTCACTTCTGATTCTGTTGATGTGTGTAGATTCTCTTTTTCTCTTAATAAGTCATTGTAGAGGTTCATCTGTTTTTTAAATTTTTTTCTTAAAGAGCCAGCTCTTGGTTTCATTGATCTTTTCTATTGTTTTACTTTTCTCAATTTTATTTATTTAGGTTCTAATATTTATTATGTCCCTCCTTCTGCTGACTTTGGGCCACATTTGTTCTTCTTTTTCCAGCTTCAATAATTGTGACTTTACTCATTTGGGAATGTTCTTCCTTCCTTAGTTAGGCCTGGATTGCTATATACTTTCCTCTTAGAACTGCCTTTGCTCTGTCCCACAGAAGTTGGGGCTTTATGCTGTCGATGTCATTTGTCTCCATATATTGCTTGATCTCTGTTTTACTTTGATCATTGATCCATTTATAATTTAGGAGCATGTTGTTAAGCCTCCATGTGTTTGTGAGACTTTTCGTTTTCTTTTTAAAATTTCTGGTTTTATGTCTTTATGGTCTGAGAAGTTGGTTGGTAGAATTTCAATCTTTTTGAATTTATTGAGGCTCTTTTTGTGGCCTAGTATGTGGTCTATTCTGGAGAATGTTCCATGTGCACTTGAGAAGAATGTGTATCCTGCTGCTTTTGGGCATAGAGTTCTGTACATGTCTGTTAAGTCCATCTGTTCTAGTGTGTTGTTCAGTGCCTCTGTGTCCTTACTTATTTTCTGTCTGGTGGATCTGTCCTTTGGAGTGAGTGGAGTGTTGAAGTCTCCTAGAATGAATGCATTGCATTCTATTTCCTCCTTTAATTCTGTTAGTATTTGTTTCACATATGTTGGTGCTCCTGTATTGGGTGCATATTATTTATAATGGTTATATCCTCTTGTTGGGCTGACCCCTTTATCATTATGTAATGTCCTTCTTTATCTCTTGTTATTTTCTTTGTTTTGAAGTCTATTTTGTCTGATACCAGTACTACTACACCTCCTTTTTTCTCCCTATTGTTTGCAGGAAATATCTTTTTCCATCCGTTGACTTTTAGTCTGTGTATGTTTTTGGGTTTGAAGTGAGTCTCTTGTAAGCAGCATATAGTTGGTTTTGTTTTTTTATCCATTTTGTTACTCTTCTTTTGATTTGTGCATTCAGTCTGTTTACAGTTAGGGTGATTATTGAAAGATATATACTTATTGCCATTGCAGGCTTTAGATTTGTGGTTACCAAAGGTTCAAGGTTAGCTTCTTTACTATCTAACTGTCTAACTTAACTAGCTTATTAAGTGTTTTAAGCACAGTCTGATGATTCTTTGTCTCCTTTCTTATTCCTTCTCCCCCTTTTTTTATATGTTAGGTGTTTTATTCTGTGTTCTTTTGTGTTTCCTTTGACTGCTTTTGTGAGTAGTTGATTTTATTTTTTGCCTTCAGTTAGTATTTGGTTGGTCTGCTTTCTTTGCTGTGATTTTGTTTTCTCTGGTGGCCTCTATTTAGCCTTAGCAGTGCTTCCATCTAGAGCAGTCCCTCTAAAATACACCTAGAGGTGTTTTGTGGGAGGCAAATTACTTCAACTTTTGCTTGTTTAATCCCTCCTTCATATTTAAATGATAATCATGCTGGATACAGTATTCTTGGTTCAAGGCCCTTCTGTTTCATTGCATTAAATATATCATGCCATTCTCTTCTGGCCTGTAAGGTTTCTGTTGAGAAGTCTGATGATAGCCTAATGGGTTTTCTTTTGTAGGTGACCTTTTTTCTCTGTCTGGCTGCCTTTAATACTCTGTCCTTGTCTTTGATCTTTGCCATTTTAATTATTATATGTCTTGGTGGTGTCGTCCTTGGGTCCCTTGTGTTGGGAGTTCTGTGGGCTTCCATGGTCTGAGAGACTATTTCCTCACCCAGTTTGGGGAAGTTTTCAGCAATTATTTCATCAAACACACTTTCTATCCATTTTTGTCTCTCTTCTTCTTCTGGTACCCCTAAAATGAGAATATTGTTCTGTTTGGTTTGGTCACACAGTTCTCTTAATGTTTTTTCATTCCTGGAGATCCTTTTATAGCTCTGTGCCTCAGCTTCTCTGTGTTCCTGTTCTCTGATTTCTATTCCACTAATGGCCTCTTGCACCTCATCCAGTCTGTTCTTAAGTCCTTTCAGAGATTATTGTATTTCTGTATTCTCCCTCACAAATTTATCCGTTAACTCTTGCATATTTCTCTGCAAATCCATCAGCATGGTTATGACCTTTATTTTGAATTATTTTAATTACTTTTTGGGGAGATTGGTTAAGTCTATTTCCCTAGGCCCTCTCTCAGGGGTTGTCTGGGTTATTCTGAACTGGACCAAATTCTTCTGCCTTTTCATGGTGATAGAGGTAGCTGTAGGCAGGTAGCGTGTGTGTCACCTGGGAAAACAAAGCCCTTTCCTGCTTGCTGGTTGCCTTGTCCTTCTTTGCTGCCTGTGTTGCTTACCCGCACTCCTGGAACAGCCTCCAGGTTAATCCCCTAAGCTGCTGTGGGCTGGGTATCCAGCAGGGTAGCGCAGAGACCTGCGGGGAGTGGCAGGCGTGCCAGGTGTGCTCTCCTGTGAGAGCGGCGCCCCTGCCGGACAGCTGTGCACTGGTGGCAGATTTTGAGTCTGGCCCGGGCAGCTGTGTGCTGGGAGGAGACCCTGGGCAGCTGCTGGGGTGCAGCCACTCCCGGGCCCCTCTGCTGCTGCTGCCACCGGCTCATGTGGGCCGTTCCTAGGCCCCTCTTGCGCCTACACTGCCAGCATGCATGGCCCATCTACCCCTACTGGGTCAGTGTGTCGGGGTCTATGCCAGCTGGCAGAACAACTGGCAGGCTGCTTATGGCCGTGAGGGGCTTCAGAGCTGCACTGCCACCCAGGGGCTTAGGTCGCCTAGAGCTCCCCGGATTCCCAGCTGCTGGGCTGAGTATGCCAGGATGATTTCGTCCAGCTGTGAGGTCCCTGTCCCTTTATGACTTTCAAAAAGCACTCTCTTTTCTTTTGTGCCAGGGGAGCCAGTTGAGGTGACCTGCTTGCAGGTTTTGCTTTTCCGTTTCTCTAATATCCAGCACACCGTGCACCATGTGTCTGCGCTCCTGGTGCGTATTACTGGAGCTGGTTGTTTAGCAGTCCTGGGCTCCCTCTCCCTCCCTGCTCCGACTTCTTTCTTCCCACTGGGGAGCTGGGTTGGGGTGGCACTTGGGTCCGAATGGGCCGTGGCTTATATCTTACCCCCTTCGTGTGATGTTGAGTTCTCACAGATGTAGATGTAGCCTCGCTGTTGTACTGTATCCACTGGTCTCTCTTTTAGGAATAGTTGTATTTGTTGTATTTTCAAAAATATATATTTTTTGGGAGGAGATTTCTGCTGAACTACTCATGCCGCCATCTTGGCTACTGCCTGGAAGTCTTTTTATTTTAATCCCTTCAACATTGCACTCAATATTTACTTTGACCAATTATCTAAGGACATATTTTTGAGTGAGTGTTCTCAGGGCTACACTATAAGTTTTGGTTAGCTCACCATCACTCTTTTAAAATAACACACTGAACATCATTATATACAAAGCATAATAGGGATATAAAGATGACAGTGTCTTAAAGTAATTTATATTACTGCAGACCAGAAAAGTGAGGAGTAGTATGGATTTGTCTAAGAAATGATTTTAAAGCCAGTAAAGAAAGTTTTTCTACGAAAATGGCTTTTAAGCCAGTATTAAAAAAGCAGACATGATCTGGATACAATAAGACTGAGATAGGACATCTAGGCAGACTGTACATGCAAACTAACAAAACTTCTAGTACTAAGAATGCTGGCACATATGGTAGAAAAAGATGTACAGTTAGAAGAAATGCAAGGAAGTTAAGCTGAGGCAAGACTACTAAGGATTTTAAAAATTATGCTACAGAGTAGGAAATTTATTCTGTAGGAAATAGGGAACCACTCAAGGTTTTGAGTATGGAAGAGATAATGAATGTACTTTAGAAAAATAATTCTGGAATAGCATGCACCCTAGTTAAAAAGGGACAAAAATAAGAGGTAAGATGTCTAATCAAAAAGCTACTGTAATTGTCCATGGAAGACGTAATGAAGGTCCAAATTAAACTGAGAGAAACTGGTAGGATGAGTCACTGTCTGAACGGGGAGGGTGAGTAGAAGTCTCCATAACTGGGAAAATTGTAGTACTACTGATACAAATGAGTAACAAAAGAAGAGCAGTAGGTCTGGAAAAGAAAGTATGTTTGGTTTTTGAACATATTTATTCATGTTGACCAGAGAGATCTAGCAGGCATTTGGGTTAGAGTTGTAAGTGTGAGTGTGAAATAATTGTTTGGAGTAGAAATACCTGCTGGTCAAGAGATATTAGTATTTTTATGACTCTGCTGTCAACAAAAGGATGCCACTAGTAGTAAATGAACACATTCAGCAATTATTTAAAAACAATTCAAAAAGAAAAGAAAATTAAAAAACAATATGTTAGGGTATCAGTTACTTTTAGGAAGAAAAGTATTTTTTCGATTTCATTTTCTTAAATGAGAAAATATGTAAGTAAATACGACAAACCCTGACAGTCTCCTTTGTAAAAACAAAGGAAAACTGATTGCTTCCACAAAACAGATATTGAATTACACCATGAATCACATAAATTCTGAGAAATTTACAAAAAAAATTCAAATCAAGTTTCCTATTACTCAATGTATTTCCACAAAAAATATGCGTGTACTAAAATGCCTCATTGCCTGCATATATATGACTTCAAATGGTCAGCAAGAACAAAAATTTTTTATTATTACAACCAAAGTTGCTATACATAAGGAAGTGACAACTCCTTACACTTACTGATGGATTAAATGCTTAAATACAGGTGACTTCGAATTATTTTATTTAAATATGCCCTTCAAAATCACTACTTCTTTACCCTAGAAGAAATTTTTAAAATGCAATTTTAACACGATTTCTGAAAAAAATGGACAGAGCAGTCACATAGGTGTTACTTGCTATACTAAGTAAAAACAAAAAAAAACAAAAAAAAAGCAAAGGTGGTTTCCCATGTTCTACCACAGGAAAATGATGTTCCTGTTTTCACAATTTTACTCCATGATTACATCCTATGTAGGCCTGTGGGAGCCATTAACTCACATGATTTCTCCACCTTATTTTAGTACTAAAATGTTTTATAAAAAATGTGCATGTATGCTGGTGGGGGATAGAGTCAGCAGAGATTCCGTAGTCCTAAACCTCTTGTGCAGTCACTTTTCTGCACTGGGTCCTGAGGAAAGCCCATTAAACCATTTCATAAACCTATGTGTTCCCCTATTCAGCAAAATTATTTAAGCAATAACACATCAGCAGCAGGATAGGAAAAAAACTCTCAAAACTGAGAAATCTCAGTTAATTTTTCTTTCTGGCATGTTTATGGAAGATTCTGATTTAGAGACATTCAGTCTTAAAAATTAACATCATGAAATTTACTAACCTTTTGTATGCTTACAATGTCTTGGGTGTTCCTTATTTTGTATTTTTAAAACACTAGGTGAAATGTCATGTGACCTATCATCTTCAAAATCACCACATCCAAACCCATAGTTCATACGTTGACCGATTATGCTTACACTGGATGTTGTAGTCCCTATAAAATAAAATACACAAAATATTTATTTTAATGATTTAGTTAATATTATAGGTACATATCTCCCCACTAAATTTATGTTGCCTTCAGCCTTTCAAAAATGTCAGTAACATAATATTAAAAATTATAACACTATAGTAGCTTTATATCTTAGATTTTATAATACTTTCTACTTTACTAGCAGATAATAAGAACATTTATTATAAGCTACACTACAACATTTTATAAAACAGGCTTTAACATTACAATGAAATACAAAATTCCATGTTTGAATGACATTAATAATATAGTTGAGGACTATGATAGGCATTGGATGCTTAAAAGACATTTTAAATTTTAAAGCAAAAAAGAAAAATTTTAAATATAGATTTAAAACTGTATCTTGAGAGATGCCTGAGCAAGACACTTAACCTTATTTGTAAAATAGGGATAATAGTAGTACCTCTTCCAGCTTTGTTATGAGGATTCACATAAAGGTGCATAGCATCTAGCATATTGTAAATACCAAAATGTTATATTTGTAATTAAAAATAGAGTAAATCAAAACTTTGAATGCAGGCTTCCTTTTAACAATACCAAAAATTTTAACCTGCATTTGAATATTTAAACTGACCACCATATACTAATATTTTATAGCTGTGAAAACCACAAAATATCTACTAAATGGAAAATCCTAAACTATATATATACATATTAAACCATTAAGTAGTAATAAAATACAGTGTTTTTAATATTGTTGTGGGTATTTTAGTAAAAACAGGATGGTGGAGAGAGGAGGTTGCTGGTGGCAGCTGGGCCAGAGAGACTGTAGAGAGAAGAGAACTAAATTCATAGAAAAATAATTTTAAAAACTAGTATAAAATGATAGAGACCTCCTAGAATAACATGGATATCTTTCTAAATTCTTAGTCTTGATAGTTAATTCATAAAGTAAGCCTCATAAAGATACTACCTTTGGGTGGAAATGCTTTCTATTAACAAGTGTTAAGAATCTAATGTTGCAAAAAAAACTTTCTATAATATAATTTAGGACATTTAGCACAATATTTACTGGAAATGCTGTTATAAAGACTATTTGGATTTATAGTTTCTACATTATTCTGAACATTATCATTTTTATGTTTTACCAATTTAACAATAAACTTGTAGGCATCACTTGCTTACTGAAAACAAACTCTATCCCACTTAAAACAAAAAAATGTAAACCCAAGTTTATAAAATCCTAAGCCATTAGCAAATTTTACATTTTGGAGGCATATTAAATGTAACCAGAATATCTTGCAGTGAATTCAGTAATAGTGTTTCCAAAATGTGATCTTGGAAATACATTAACAACTTGATAAAAATACAAATTTCTAACCCAGAAGACTGATTCATTAGGTATGAGGTGAAGCTGTAGTATCTATATGTTACACGCATTCCTGGTGATTCTTAGGATTAGGCAAGTTTTTGGAAACACTGAATATTCAACAAGTTTGGGAAACAATGAATATTGCAAATATTGTAAGACTTATCACATTACTAAAACTTAAATGACTCACAAGTTCATACAACTAGGGTCAGAGGGAAACTCAGATCTAGGTTTTCTAAATCTACTCTTTTCTAATTCCAAAGATATTCTCCCAAAAAAGGAATCCATTTTTAAAAACTAGACACAATCTAGCAAAAACATGTCTCTCCAAACATAAATATTTGTTAAGTTATAATTTATTGGGGTGACTAGCTTTAGAAAAGGCTTATAACATAAGTTTGTGTGTTACGTTTTTTTGTGTCTTCCTCTTTAGGGGAACAAATACTTACCAAGTGCCAATTATGAACTAACTCCTTTATACATGTTATATACTTAAATCTTCACCATCCTTTCAAGGTTTATATTATCAGATGAGGGAACTAAGGTTCAAAGCAGTGAAGCAACCTGCACAGCTCATGAATATAGTTATTAAATATCAAATTGGGATTCCAGTTGGGGTCTTTTAGACACCAACACACATATACACTGTTTCCCTGTGCCAAGTAGAGTTAACTATCTTTTTGTTGAAAACTAGCTTTGTGGAAGTCAGTACACCAGGCACACATGGTTGAGTTGGGCATTCATTATTATGATAGGCACTTGGTTGGTAATCAAGAGGTAAATAATCTCTGGGGATCAATTTGAGAGTCCAAAAAAATAAAATAATTGCAATACCATTATAAAGATGTCAATGCAAAATATATACCGATATCACAAAAGAGGTAATGATCAATTTTGCTTGTGACCTGGGGAAGGCTTTTCAGAGGAAGCAACTGAGCTATTTTCACAGCTGAATGGTGTGAGGTGTGGAATACAGATTTCATCCAAAAGAAATAGTATGTGCAACTGCAAAGAGATAGGAAATGGTACCAAAGGTGGTCTGATTTAAATAGACCACAAGATACAAAGAGGGAAGTGAAAAATGAGACTGGAAAGGTAGGCAGGGGCCAGATCATGGAAGAATACCCTGAATAAACTGAGGTTGGGCAATACAGTCAGATCTGCATTGTGGGAAAAGAACTAGTAACTGAAACTGAAGCTGAAGAGAAATCTTACGAGGCTTAGTGGGTAAGAAATGAGTAAGAGTGATACGATACACAAGGATTAAAAAGAGGAACTCAAATTAGTACTTATTTAGGAGCAAGAAATTAAAAATCTTTGCAAATAATTAGATACATACATAGCTTTATAGGAAGATAATTATGATGTAAGGTTAAGTAGCCTTAAAGTTGTTAGTTTTACACTGAGATCGTATGAAAGTAAATATCATTTCCTAATGTGTTATAATTCATTCATAATTTAATAGTTTTACCAATCATAAAGAATCATATACAATTCCCATCCCATAAATCAGAATCCAAATATTTTTCTAATTGATTACTAATAACTAATCCATTTTTGAAAAGAGATGTTTTGGTTTAGAGACTTCCAGGTTAGTTCACAAAATTCTTTACACAAGATACACATGAACTTAACTACTAGTTAAATACTGTTTTTAAAAGAAATTGTCTTTTGTGATGCCCAGTGGTTATTAAACTATGTTGCACTAGAATCACCTGAAGAGCTTTCAAAAACTGATGGGCAGGTCACATTCCATTTATCAACTAAATCAAAATGTTGGGTGTGGGAACATGGCATATAAAAGGGATCAATTATTCAGGTAAATATTTTTTCTTCCAAGAATAATAGAGAATATATTCTTGTCAAAATGGCCTTTTAAGGACTTAAAAAGATGATTAATTTGTCTTAATTGGTAACTACAAAATTCTCAATCTGAAATGCATTACTTTTGACATCATTTAAAAATTATACTTTCTATAAATATAACAGTTATAGAATACCTGTAATGAGGCTTTGTTCAGCTATCTGAGAGTTTTTATTCTTTGCAGAACAAAGTCTTGTTGGACAATGTTTTGATCCAAATGTTGGAAATATTTCTGTCCTATAAGGAAACAAAGCAATTTCAATAAACATTTGAGGTCTAGAGCTTTTCAAAACTCTTACATCAAACATTCTCTATACTTTTTATCAACTCACTAAACTTAGATAATAAGGCAGCAGCAAGTATGAAAAACTATGGCTGAGAACTTTTTATTGGTATTCCTAATTCACCTTTGAACTTCCAAACTTTTTAACATACAGTCAGTTCTTAATTATTCATGAGAGGATTGCCAAAGGAAATGAAGACTCTCCAGCTTGTACTGTATAATCTTTTGTGGGTTTAAAAAAAAAGATCCAAAAACAGTCCATTCTGAAACTAAATCAAATGATTCATAATTATCTAATATACGTCCTGCCCTCATAAATAGTAACATAAAAATAGAGATTTAACTATTTTATAAATAAAAGGTAAGCAACAAGTGAGTTTAACAAATGTTGCTATCTTCTTCGACAATTCTTTGCTGTACTTCCCTGACATTATAAAGGCCTACAGGCTTTGTTTCACAAAGAAAGCAAACTGAAGAATGTTAAATCTGAACATTTAGGAACTGTTTTAACTTGCTGAGTGATGTAACATCAATAAGTCAGTGATGGATATTATAAAGAAGAGATTTTACAAAGGAGTACAATTCTTAGCAGCAGGAACTTATTTGTTAATTGGTCTAGTGATAAATCAATGTTAAATATTTTAAAAGAGTAATTTCACTACAAGAGATAGATGATAGTCAATTTACACTTAAACTGAGTGCATTTGATTTGGGTGAAAGAAAATCCTTCAGTCTCTGGAAGAGAAGTTCTCAACAATTTTTCATCCCCAGTCCACTTAAGGGTAAATGAAAGCCCTGCACAAAATAGTGGCTTTCTCTGATTCTGATTCTTAAGGCAGGATGAAAGCTGGTTGAGAATAATTGCTCTAAAGCTATTAAACTTAAAGGTAGAAATACTAAACTCATTAAAGCTCATATATGAGGGTATACTGAACTCCATTCTCACAGAGTTTAGTATCTGAAGAGAAAAACTCCATGAGATAATACTGAATTCTAAGTGTTAAAATATAAAATCAACTTTCTACCCAACTAGGTTCCAAATTATAGGAACTTGCAACTGTAGGATTATATAACATAAAACTTCACATTCATGGAAGCTAAGGGAAGGACTTCAGGCCTAAAAGGTAAATACATGTATTTTAATTGTCTGTTAATGTAAACAGTTACTTCACCAGTCCACACATCCATTTCAAATTCATTTTGTAAATATATTGATTATTCTAGGAAATTACAACAGAAGAATTTCCAGTAAGAGAACATTTCAAACTGAAAAATAAGTTGCTATATAAATATAAAAATATGGAGAAGGAAATAATAGGATGAGACAAACCTCTCACAGGACACAAAAATCCAGTTTAATTTTATGAACCACTGAAATAAAACACCCTTTTCCATTAAAGCTTCTAGAACACCATCTCTTCTTTGATTATGCAATCTCTACGCATTACTAGAGGTTCCAGTTCATTTTAGTGAAAATAATTTAAACTAAATTTAATCTTAAATATTTAATTTTTAGTAGTTGTATATAAACATAGTTTAGGATAAAATCAAAGGGAAATACAATTTAAAAAACTGACAAATTTTAACAAGGATGTGAAACAACTGGAACTCACACATTGCTTGTAGGAGTATAAAAGTATACACGCTATTTAGTAATATTTAAAAAGTAGAAAACTATTTAGCAATTATTTAAAAAGTGAAATGTACATCTATGCTACTATGACCTAGCAATTCTACTCTTAGGTTCTGTCTAAAATAAGGAAGAAATTCCCTAAAATCCTAGAATAGGGTCATAGAAATTCTCAGAAATCAAGATGGGAAGACTTAAGAGGTTGTTGAGGTCATGTGGAAAAGTTTGTTGAATTTTTACAGTGAAAACATTTCTCTGTCAGTGTGGGGTAGCTGGAACTCCAATTCCAGCACTATTGTAAGGAGAATCCTTGGAGTTTGTGAACACTATATGGTGTGGAGTCCTAGGCTTCTACTAGATAACCGAATGACAAAATTCAAGTAGTCAGGTAATGGCTGGGTGGAGTTTACCCATAAATTAGAGGATATTGGTGTTGAGTTTTAAATGAAAACAGTAATATCGGCTACAGGTCAACTGCAAAAGAATCAATTATCCAGAGAAGAACTAAAGAACAAGGAGTATTAGGATAAATCTTAGATAGGCAGAAGAATAACTGGGGTTTGGGAATAGGATTTATATTAATTTAGGTGCCCTAGGTTACATCTGGTGTTGTGTTCTTTCTCCATTCCCATCCTAAACCAAAGCCAAGCAACGTAATTATCTATAAACCTTTCAGCTGTCTTTTAAATATGTTTTACTATTTCAAAAACTAGAAACTAAAGTTTTTTCAATATGATATTAGGACTTCAGACTACAAATCACAGTTGGCATTCATTTGACATGTAAGAAAATAAAATACATTATTCTCTTCCCCTGGGGAGTTGTAGAGAGAGAAGAAGTCAATGATTCTTGGCTGTAAACTCCACTTTCACTGTAAGAGCTGATGTTTGGAGAAGAAGATCGAGATGGGGAGTCCATAGTCAAGTCAAGCTTAATTGCAGAATCAGGGCTTTCAAGATCAGAAGTACTGCCACTCAGTTTGGCTCTTTTCTTAGCTGCACTATTACGAAGGGACCTAAGAGAGTTCTGCATCTAAGAAAAAATAAAAGGATTAACTTTATAAGATACTTATATTAATAAAAGTTATCCTTAGATTTTAAATTTCTAAAATTTCGAGTTCCCATCAAGCTTGCCAGTGTTAGGGTTCAAGAACAACAGATCACTGTATGTGACTTCTGAAGCCAAGTAGTTCTAGAAATGCAGAGTAGAAATCATTATTACAAATGAATATATTAAGGCTGGGAATAGAATCTTGAACTAAGGAACATTTAAATATACATTAATTGTGTTTTGTTTACATTTTGATTATGTCCATTATAATGATTGATTCAATAGTATGGCCATTTCCTAGTAATTCTTGGAAGGTTGAATATCTTAAAACAGTAGTATCCTCTTATATTTACCAATAATTATATAAAAGAAATTGGCCTTTCAATAATCCACTAAAAGAAAAAAGGGCTTTAAGTTATAGAAATAATGCAAAAATATATAGGATCAGATGAAATTTATGAGTTATGTAGGAAAATGCCTCTTCTCTAAATTTAATCCCTTTAAATTAATTCTCTTCTGCAACCAGAAATAAAATTGGAAAAAGAAAAAACAGGGACAATTTTATAAGCAGTAAGAAGTTGGAATGACTAATCCATTAAGTTCTAATTTTGATACTTTATAAGTTAATTATATATATGCTTAATGTTTAAAATGAGTATGCATTAATATTCATGTTATTGAGTAAATTATCAGTACATGATGCTTACATCTTAAAAATGTGGTTAAAATAAGACCACAAAATATCATAAAGTGTTTCAGTTTACATATTTAATGTAAAACATTTTAAACCTGATATCAGGCAGACTGAAATGATAAAAAGGAAGTATTTATGGAAAATGTGCTCTGAATCCAAAGTAATCCAGCAACCACATTCCTTCTCTGACATAATTAGTATGTACAGAGTTGCGATATTCACAATACTTTTTTATAGTATAAATGGAGTGATCTAGGATTCAAAGATGAGTATATAATATCATCTCAATTTCATAATGATAAATAAATTTTCACATATACTTAAGGGACATGCTCAAAAATTTCACCACAGCGTTGTTTCCAACAGCAGAAGACTAGAAATAAGCCAAAATTATATAAATACATTACAGACATACCAAAATAACATATTAATAGGAAAAGTACAAAATACACATAAAACATAAATGCCTCTGACGGAGGGAAAGGAACCTGAGGAGGGAACTATGTTATATTCCATTTATTTATACAGGAAACAAACATGACAAATTGTTCATTTGGGAGGGGTTAATGCATGGGTATATTGCTGTATTACTCATACTTTTAATTTAAAAAGGAAAAACATAAGCAGAGGTGAAATATTGGAAGTAACACTTTAGAGAGTTAATGGTAAATTATTCTGGGTAGTGGGATTTGGTGTGATGAATTTCCTTCCTGACTCTTTACTGTAGTTTCCATGTTTTCTATGGATAAAAAGTTCTTGATTTTTCCTTAAATAACAACTATCATATTATAAAAATGGCATTTTTGAATTATTAAAAATGGTATTTGGTTCTAACCTCTTCTTGATCCAAATCTTCATCCCTAATGTTTAATTCTGAAAGATCAATTATAAGACTATCTTTTTCACTCTTACAAATATCATCAGGCTCTTTCTTTTTGGGTCCCACTGTGCTTAAATCAGCTTTATCAGGCAAAAGGCTGATTCCTCTTGGTATGGGAGGAACAGGCCTGGTCCCATTTAGGCCTCGTCTGGAAGATGGTGATCTCACCAAGGCAGGTGTTAGTTGAACTGGAGACGATTTTTCTTGAGAATTTTCTCCTGAATGAAAAATACATATTTTACTTTTGTTTTATTTCTGAGAAGTGGAAGTTATAATCACAAGTACTTGGAATATAGTATTTTTAAATTAAAAAGACACATTATCTTTTATTAGAAATAAAGACTACTATTTAAAATGGGAAAAGATAGAAGTATCAGTGTCCCCTAACAAATATAACAATAATGAGCCACTGGAAATACTTTCATATTAAATAAACATATTATATACAAAGTTTTATTTCTATCTCCATACATATCATGATGACTAATATTTGTATGGTATAGGCCATAATAAGCTAGATGGGCTACTTTTCTGACTTAATTAAATTATAAGCAACATTTGAATGACTACTATACGTAAAGCAGTAATACTAGGCACTAAGGAAAAAAAAACTCGCAGCTTTCAATACAATATTTGATCTGGTAAGAAAGACAAATATAGAAAGAAACTAATGGAAAGGAATGAAGATTCAGTGCTAAGAGAAAGTGATAAAACTGATATACTATACAATACTGGCCTTATGGCTATAAACTGTGGTTTTGCAGGTAGTTTAAAGATGGAACATCTTACCTCAGAGTTTGGGGATAAGAAAGTATGTGGGATATAGGTGTTGCCTTTATTAGACTTCTTATATGCTAATTTCATGATTTTGGAATGGGCTATTGCTAAGAATACTTTTAAAAAATAATAGAAAAACCCTTCAAAATTATTTTAACATATACTAAACATTCAATAAACACTGAATAAATGAACACAGACATTAGTTATAGTAAATATATGAATGACATTTTATATTTGTAAAGTTAAAATTTGTTAATAGGCCCTCTGGCTATTCATATTCATGTCCATTAGAAAACACTATTATTTACCTAGTTTGATCTTTTTAACATACTGTTAAATATTTTCCTAGATATTTACTAATTCAGAGAAATAAAATGCAATTTACTGGCTTTTAAAGATCAAATGACCCTAACACCAAATTAATAATTCAAGCATACAAATACATTTGAACAAAGTATTAATTTTCACCATCATTTCTACCTGCATGGTCAGACAATTTTTGGCTAACAAGCTTTTTCTGTGGACTTGGCTTAGATAGTTCTTCAAAGCTTTTAAGAGGCCAGGAATTTGAGAAATTAATGGAATTATCTTGAGACTTCTTTGGAGATACAGTAAGAGATTTGTGCTTTGGACTAGTTCGAGGTGATGAGAGAGGACAGGATGGAAGAATGAGGCCTCCTGGACTTGGATTTATACCAGAGTATGGTGAAGTACGTTCTGTTTGACCACCAAATGTTTGCTGTGTCTTACTGCCAAAATTTAGGCTAGCATACACTGTAATAAAACAAGAGAGAATTTGTTATTTATATATACATATCTTCTAAGAGTTTACAAATTTTTTGCTTTTTCACATGCAGGTTTTTATCCCACCTGGCATTTATATTTTTGTATGGTTGTATGGTGTGAGGTTAAAATTTAACTTTTTTCTTATAGATGGTACAATTTTCTCAGTGCCATTTTTTAAACTGTCCATTCTTTCCCTTTCATGTATAAAGCTCCCATGTACATGTTTTGGTCTATTGTTAGGTGCTTTTTATTGAATCCATTCACTTATTTTGTCTATCCCTGCAGTAATGGCTGAATGTTTTATTTATCACCATGCTGATAGGATGAGCCTCTCTCTACCTCGATCTTCTTTAGAATTATCTTGGCCGTTCTTGCCCTCACTCTTGATACATTATTTCAGGATCAGCCTATCAGATTCCACAAACTATCCTGTTGGGATTTTGACTGGAATGTCACTGAATGTACAGATTAATCTACAAATAATTGCTATCTTCCTGATACTGAGTCTCCCTGTTTAAAAATATGAGATCTCCTTTCATTTATTTACGTCTTTTTTTATGTCTCTTAAAAAGCCATTTTAGTCTTCATAAAGGATGTGGAAATTTGTGTTGATTTCCAGGTACTTACAGTCTGCAGCTACTGTTGGTTTCTTCTTTAAAAACTACATTTTCTGAAAGTTTCTGAAAACTAGGAACTTTATTGCCCTTTACATTCTGGTTTTATTTTTGGCAACTTTCCTAACTTATTTAATATTTTAACAGTTTTCCATATATTCTTTTAGAAGTTCTATGTAGATAATCTAATAATCGTAATATGATAATGATGGGGACTATAATGATTATAGGGATGAGAGCTGATGTTTATTGAGTACTAACTATGTGGTTGTGGTATTCTAATTGGTGTTCCAACAATAATTTCTATGCATTAACTAGCTTAACCCTCACGATGGAGATAGATACTATTCATTCTTATTTCATACACTGAAAAAAAAAAGTAAAGAGGAATGAATAAATTGCTAAAAAACACACACTAGGAAATTGTAAAGCTGGGATATGGAACCAGGCACAATGGCTCCCAAGCCTGTGTTCTTAAGCACTACATTGTACGATGTTTTATTAGGGAATGATAATTTTTGTTTCTTCCTCTCAAATGTTATACTTTTAAATTTGAGCTAGGCCTTCTTTAGATAAGCATGACTCCAAAATTTTTAGCACTGATTTTCCCTTAAACTCCAGACTCAACATCAAAATACCACTGAATATCTTTAGAGAGACATCCCAAACTTAACATGTCCAAACCAAAACTCTTGATTTCCCACTCAAATCTGCTCCTCTAATTTTCCTCTTCTTGGTAAATGGCAGCTCTCTTCAAGTTGCTTATGCCAAGAACATTGGACTTAGCCTTGACTCCTCTCTTCTCTCAAGCTCCGTATCTAATTCATTAGCAATTTTATTGGCTCTAGATTAGCAATACAGGGTGATCACTATGTCTGAAAACTTAGGTGAATACAAAATAAATGGTTTATTCATATTACATCAGTATTCATGACAGAATGATCTGTTTCGAGGCTTTTTGGCCACCCTGTATATCAGAACCCAACCACTTTTCGTCACTTTCATTGCTTCCTCTCTAATAAAATACCTATCATCTCTCAACATTACTATTGCCATAACCTCCTAACTGGTTTGGTTTATATCCTACCCCCACTCCTGCCAAGTCTATTCTCTACATAGCAGCTCTGATCCTTTCAAAAGGTAATCAGGTCACGCTATTTCTCTAAAAAACTAGCATGCCTTCCCATAACACTCAGAATAAAATCCCAAATCTTAAAAATGCCCTACAAGGCTACATGTTATCTCCTATAATTATTCGCCCTCCCTTGCTCATTCCACAGATCTCCATGTTATTCCTCCAATAAACCAAATATGATCCTACTTCAGAGCATTTGTATTTTGTCGTTCTCTCTTCCTAGAATGCTGTTTCTCTAGATGGCTCACTCCTTCACTTCATTTAAGTTTGTGCTTAAAAGTTACCACTTCAGAGAGTCCTTAACTATTACATTCTGTCCCCTTACCCTGCCATATTTTTCTTCACACTGATTTCCATTCTTATATTTCATTTATTGTCTATCTTCTCCTCTACTAGATTTAGATCTTTAGATTCTAGAACAGTGCCAGGTTCTCAATAAATATTAGAGGGATTAGCAATTAAATGCTCAGTAGTGGTGGTAACGGAGCACTTTGGTGTTGTTCTTGACCTTAAAGTGAATTATAATATTTTACCGCTATATATTTGCTATAGATATAAATAGCTATCATTAATCAAGTTAAGAAAGTTATTCTTAGTTTATTAGTAGTTTATAACCATGCATGGATACAGAATTTTAGCTGCATCTACTGACACAATGATATGGTTTTCCTCCTCCTATTCTGTGACAAGGTTAAACCACAGGTTTTTTTTGAAAACTCCTTAGACGAAATATGTAACACACAAATTTAACAAACATATTACTAGATTTAGTTTGCTAATACTTTATTTAGTATTTTGAATTTCATGAAAGTGAGACATGACCATCATTTCTTTTCCTTTATTCACTGACCTTATCTTGTCATTGTATTAATGTTATATTCACTTCATAAAATGAACTAGGAAAACCTCTTTTCATTCTTTAAGTTTGTGTAAGAAATGATATACCTCTTCCTTGAAGGTGTGACAGAACACAAGAAAAAAACATCTGGGCCTGGGGTATTTTGTTTGTTTTCATGGGTAAAATTTCAAAGTAAAATTATTTTAGAGATTATAGGTCTATTCAGGTTTTCTATTTCTAATTGAGACAACTTTCAGAGGTTTATTATGTTATTCAAATATTCTGTATCATCTAATCCAAACTTCTTTTTCCTACTAGCATTTCTAGATTTATTACTTTTCTCCCTGTAATTATATCAAATTACAAATATACACTCATATGCATATATATATACATATTTAAGAAAAGTTTGCCTTCTTAGTAAACTATTCTTTTTTCATTAAAATAACCCTCTTTAGCCCTAAAAATGTTTTTAGCTTTAGTGTGCATATTTTCCCTAATATCAGGATTTATATAACTGATTTGAGTATCTGCCTATATATCTGTTTCCATGCTTTACTTTTTCCCATTTTATTTTAATGTGTTTTAGGCATGGTTCTTAAAAATAGCATTTCAATTTTAATACATAAAATAAAATGAGATCACCTCTGTTACATAAGTAGTAAGTTCTGTCCATTTATATTTACAGTGACTATTGATACATTTGGTTTTAATTCTACCTTCTTATTTTGTGCTTTCTATTTGCTGTGTTTTCCTTTATTACGTTTTTCTTGTCTTTTATTATCTTTTCATTTTACTCCTCAACTAAGATAAAAGTCTATTTGTAAAAACCTTTTAGGGGTTCCCTTAAATTTTCCTTTAATTTTTTTGAAGATTTTCCATAAGTTTTAATTTTAAGAATTAAAATTACAACAACACCCTTTTCTTTTTTGTGATGAGTCTAATTACACAAAATAACATATGAAGCTAGATTTGGAAATCCCACATAATATTTATATGTATCATGCATATTCAAATAAACTGGAATTTAAACCTTCATCATGATGACTGTTAGTAGTTCCCAGGTACTGCATGTCAGAGTCCACACTGCCAGTTTTACCACGTATCTGTGAAAATCCAACTTGTGTACATTTCCCAGAAAGATTTTTCTGATAAGTCCCAGCAGTGCCTTTGGAAAGAAGGAGAAGAAAAACATAAAACTTAACTTTATTTCATGAATACACCTAATTTCACAAATGTTGGTGTCTTTTGTGTAGGAATAAATACAGGAGTATATGTACAATGAGCCAGACAGGTAAGAAAGGGATAACACTTGCTACAGGCAGATCTGACAGATCCAATTAGTGGTAGGTGTTAAAGGACAGAAGATAGACTAAGTGTAAGTACAGAGAAAAGTGTATTGAAAAATATGAATAAAGGCAATTTCTTCCTATACATTCTCCCCTTTTACCATGGAATGTTTCTCCAGACCTGACTTTCCTTCCTCCCAATATTTGTAGTATATACTCTACCCAAAAAGTTCTACTGCAGAACTTTTCTACTTTCTTTTTTAATATGTAAGACAGCATTCGCATGGTTTCCAAACTCATCCAGGCATATTTCCCAGATCCTTTTCCCTCTCTTACGGCTGGTTAAGGTTATTTCTGGGCAGAGGATTAAGTCTGAAGAAAAAGAGGTGACAATGACCTCTCTGGTGTTCAGTTTATTTGTTTACACAATAAGCGAATCCCTTGTAGTTCTGAGATTCTATTTTTTTTGAAAATTCTCTATGATTTCAAGCCCCTTTATCCTCTACATGCTGGACATCTTCTAAATTAATCTCACCCCTTGCTTTGGTTGTACTTTCTCCCTACCTGCAACAGTAATAGTACAGCTTCCCTCACTCACTGCCAATCACAAACTCTTTTTTCTCTTCTTTAAAGTCCAGCTCAAATCCAACCTCTTCTTAGAAGTTTTGTAAACAATTTTATATCAATGATTTTCTCCTTTCTTGAATCCCTGTGTACTTATCCAATCTAGCATTAGGTTATACGCTGTCTTATTCTCCAGTTACTTAAAAACTGTACAACTATGTAAGAGCTTCTCAGTGGTACAGAAACTATGAACCTTTTACAGATCCAAAGTTATAGTAAGAGCACAACTGGGTATATTCTTGCATTTCTTTTTCTCTATTAAATAAACATTAAACTACACAATCATTAAAACATTTCATTTTTGTATGAAATATTATGGAATTTTACTGTATAAAGATTTATAAATTGCCCAAAGATAAATATGTTTTTTTTCTAAACACTGCATCTGAATTCAGAGTGAACAAATTTCAATAACTAGTATCATTTGGATATTAAATAAATGTCAACATCTATAATGAATTCAATGTTCATCTTATAAATTATTTTCCTTTCCCAACTGGTTTTGTTTTGTCAACACATTACCATTTTTCTACCTGGGTACTAAGTCTTGAAATATTTCTCTACTCCCCTTCTTCATCTTTTATATCCAGTCATCACATATTCCTGATTATTCCTTTCTATTCCATTTATAAACAAGTGTATCATCCTAGCTTTTTCCTTAATGAAAAAATCTCCATTAGCTCTCCATAGCTTACAAATACAAGCTAAAATTTTTGAGCCTAGCACAATTGTTTCTCCATATCCCAATTATCTTTGACAATCTAAAATGAACCTTGTCTTTACAGTCCCCAAAATATCTCAAGTCCATTCCTAAGATAAGCCTTTGGTCTCCTGATATCTCTCTCTTAACTAAATGTATCATATACATCCCCCAAAAGTGTAATTCAAGTAGTATCTCCTTCTTTAACACCTTATCTAACTGATATGGTCCATGACAATGACTGTGTCCTCTGAACTACCATAATATTTACTTTCTGTACTACTTACTTAGGCAATTAAGCATTTTTCCAGTTGCTCTTGTCAAAAAACCTTAGAGTACTCTTGACTTACGTGTCTCACACTCCATCCCCAATTCATCAGCAAATCACATCAACTCTGCCTGTGACATATAATCAGAATTCAGTTATTTTTCCTACATTTACTGCTACCCTGGTCAAAGCCTCCATGAACTCTAGCCTGGATTAGAACAACAGACTCCTTGTTTTTGTCCTTGTCCTCAGTCTATTTTAAATGTAACATCCAAAACAAGCCTGGAAAGCATAAAGCAACTGCTATTATTTCTTTCCTCAAGACGTTTCTCTCTCAGAATAAAAGCCAAAGTTCATTTAATAGCCACTAGGCCTTATAAATAAGGACTCCTCTTATTTCTTGACTTCATTTTCTACTTCTATTCCCTTTATTCAATTTCATTCTAGGTTTACAGCTTCTTTAAGCTTTCTCAAATATGTCCTATACTCTGCCTAATGTTTCCCTCTTCCTGTAATTACTTACTCTTCTCTCTTGATATCTATGCAGTTTGCTTCAAATATTCCCTTCCAAATGCAGCATTCTTTCATCACATTATTCAAAACAGCCTCTCCCCCATAGTTCTCTTCTCTCCTTTTTCTCCATGACATTTATCAACATCTAACATACTATGTTTGCATTTATTTAATATTTGCTTTGCCCCAACCAGAATGCAAGATTAAGCAGAAAGTCCTGTTTTGTTGACTGCTATATCCCCAGTAGTTAGAAAAATACCCGACATCTAGGAGATACTCAACAAATATGGGTTGTTGATTAAGCAGATATTGCCTTACATTACTACTTAAAGGGTTTCAGTGAGAAACCCAGTGTCTTCTGAGATAATTACATCAGAGTCCTTTTTATCAGATCCTTATGAAAATTTATTGAATCTGAATTGTCTACTAGATTATAAATCCTATGAGCTCTTGAATGAACTATATGAGGTTTAGAGAAATCTTTAACTTAATTCAACATGTCCAATGCCTGCACCTTTTACTTACCAGCAGCACATACTGGAAGAGATTCTGGGTTAAAATCCCGATAATTCTGAAATAAGTTTCTTGATACTCTTTTTCTGCTAAAACATAAATCATCATTGACTGTCATTCCTTGAGAGGGCTTTAATTTTGGAGATGGGATGAAATCATATGCTGAAAACTACAAGAACAGAATAATATTTTAGCAAATTTGTGTGAAGTCTACTTGGTAATAAATATGACAGAATAATTAAGACTCAATTATGAAATTCAGATTAAAAGAAAAAATTAAATTTATCAAAAATATAATGATACAACACATACAGTATGATACGTTAACAGTATTTTTCATTTCATGATAGAAATACTAAGTTTTTTCCATCTTTCTTACTACTTCACTCCAAACCTTTTCTGTATCTTACCTTCCTACAATACACAGCTAGCAGCTAGGAAGGACAGAATGCAAATGACAAAGAGGGAAATGACAACTTGTGAGGTGAACCTGCTAAACACTGAACTACAGAAACTCCCAGTTGAAATGACAACTTGAAAAAGAAAAGCACATTTCAGGTTCAGCATCATATAGCCCATCACACTCTGCCATCTTTGAATATTAGACCAAAAATGCCAATTGAAGGTCACCAATCAGCCAGTATCATACTAACTATTCCTACTGAGGCACATTTATTATCCATAATCTGCAGTCCAAACATAATGTACACCTTTATCCCTTAGAGATTTTCTTATGATAAGTCTTTTAGTTAAAATCAAGTTCTTAAAAATTTACATGTATTTTTTATTTTCCAGTTCTTTTTCACATACCCCTTTGGTTCTTAAGGTACAAAAATGCCAGGATGGAAATTTTGAAGTTCTACCTAACCACAGTTAAAGAAACTAAATGAGAGCATGATTGAAGTGTTCAGAATTCTTTACCAGTGATGACATCAATTGTTCTAAATCACTTCATATTCAACATAGCTGCAGAACATTAAAAAAACTGAATGAACAGACAACAAATTATACTGACTGTCTATATATTTGGAGCTTAAAGATACAGTCAAATCTAGACATGTGGTGAACTATAAGCCTTCTCAGTATGCTTCCTTGCAAACACTTCCAAGTATCAAAAAGCACTGAAATACAATACAATTAAAGATATGCCTATTTAAAAACTAGTTAGCTGCTTGAATATTACAGTATAAGACTATAAAATGCCAAATACACCTCAGATAACTTGTTATTCCTCATTAAATTATGTGGAAAAATCTGCTTACTCCTTCAAAAATTAACCGAGAAAATCACTGAGAAATAAAGAATGCCACAGATGAAAAAGGCCTGACTTTACTTTCCCCAATTTTATTAATTGGGGAAATTAATATTAACAACTCCTATGACTGATTGTATAGTAGTCACTATTAAAAGGACACAATGGAGTAAACATGGAACAAATTACAATTTCTGATCAGATATATTAAAAAGAAATACTAACCCAGTTTAAATAGTAATCCAGAAATAATTCCCCAATATGGAATATATCTTACATTACTCTGCAATTAATTTCTCCTTTCAGAGAACAGAATATTAGTATGTATGCCAGATACATACAACTAGTGGTGGTGTAGTGATGGGGACAATGCAGGCAAGTGGAAGTGGTGGAGAAACGCGTGTGTGAGAGTGGCATTTTCAAGAAGTCAAGAGATAAAGTTTTGCTATAAAAAATCTGCAGATGTTTGAAAGCAAACTATAGGACATACCAATTATTATTAAAATGAGAGACTCTTTTGATCTCTCTTAAAAGTAGTCAAATGATTTTCATCAGGATAAGCTTTGATGGAACTAAATAATGAATAAAAGGGAAAGGGAAGTTAGAGTAAAAGAGAAAAGTACAGATAAATTTTGAAGGAGTTGTGACCTAAATTTACGAAATGTGAATCAGTCTGTTTAGAGTACCTTAGGACTCTTAGGAACACAGAACTGAGTTTTCAGTCTTTGAAGTTTGTATCCAAAATTTAATTCATGTAATTCCTTAGAGTTACAGTACATGAAAGTGTTATAGAAGGCAAGTTTCAAACTAAATATTAACAATGATTTGTAATTCAGTGTTATCTACTATTTCAATCTTGCAGTTTATTATCTTGAACTTTGCATTTGATTTCTTATACATATTTCATATAAAAAGATTTCTTTGACCAAATGCCTTTCAGTAGTGTCTGTCAGGGGGTGTAAAAACATCATAAAAATAGTTTTAACCCTAATTTTGGTAGAGTTAATAGCAAATTATCAGTGAAAGACCTAATTCAGAAGCCACCTACACTCTGCCTTTATTTAATCATATAAACTTTATCTTGACCTCCAGTTTTTGGACCCTTTCATCTTCTACCAGTTCTTTTTGGTTTTACTTGAACTGCAACCTGTCCCATACTGGTAGCCATTTAAAAAGTTTATTACAATCACCCAGTTACCTTCTGAAACATCTTTGCGTGTTTTTCTCAAATCACTTTCTATGCACACTTAAGAAAACACAGTTGTAATACTATGTATGTTTTATAGCCATTTCATTTGGCACTTAACATTGTAATATATTTCCCATGTTGTTAAAACCTCTCATAGAGTGCTATAAACTTTAATTACAAAAGTAGTAACTGCACATTGTAAAAAAAGCAAACATTACAGAAGTAAATAAGATATAAAATCAAATTCTTCTTTGGCACCCCTTTTGTTAGAATCCTATTGATAAACTGTTAACAGATCTTTTTCTGTATATAAACAATCTTCCTTAAGTTAAAAAAAAATAGATCACATAATATTCTTACACTAAGTAAATACTCAGCATATTACAGACATCCTTTACTGTTAATCATATGTATCTCTTTATTCTTTTTAATGTTTGCTTAGCACTCCATATATGATTGGATTCACAGTTACCACTAGTGGACATTTCAACCACTAGTGGGTATTTCACTACTTTTCACTAATACAACCCCGTAGTGTTATGCTTGTGTATCTCTGTAGGACAGAAGTACTAAAAATAGAAGTTAGGTCTAAGGATATAAACTATTTTTAGAGTCTGCATAATATTCTGTTGGTAGGACATGCCACTCTCCTATTATGCAACATTTCAGTTGCTTCCACATTTTAAAAATTTTGTTAAGGAAGAAATTTCAATGAAGAAAATAGTGCACATCTGGCTTAAGATAGCACTGATAGAAGATTTGGTAGACCTTAGAAAGACTGTCATATATGTTACACAGCTAAAATACATATATTTAAAACAACAAAAATGGTTTCTTCGATATCCTTAGGCTTCCTACACAAGGGCAGAACACCTAGACTGAATTCTTTGGTAGCTATCAGGTAACGAGTTTGCCCATAAAATGTGCAAACAAGACTACTATGCCTGATCTGTAATGTTTTTTCCTCTTTTCTCATCCCTGGTTTTACCTTGAGTTAGCTTCTCAGCTGACTCTCTTACAAGTAAGAAAACAAAGGGGTTTCTGCCTCCTTGTTTGATGTTTATTTCTGGAAGTTTCACTAACATACTGACCTGCTGCGTCTTAATAAGAGACTCAAACTCATTGTCTGAAGTATACCTTTTCTGAGACTTGGGAACTTCAGTCTTCAGTTAACCTTTCCTCACATAACTAACTGGGCAATGGGCAATATGGCTCTTATACAGTGAATCTGACTCTTGATAAAACCTGTTTCTGGTTCTGATTTCGCCTGAGCACATGAGAACAGTTTCCACACAGATGGCAGCAGTGGTGGAAATGGGTTTTGACTTTATGGTCTACTAGGTGATTTCTGTTGGCTGAGAGTATGGTGGTCAGGCAGCTGACAGGGAATGTGGAATCTTGTTTCCTTACTGGTATGTTCTGAATATGTTTGTTTTTAAATGTTACTGATATGAGCTCAAGTCCTTTACTCTTAATAAGCAGAACCCTCTTTTTCCATCCCAAACTTAAGGTTTCTGATGTTTACTTATTGTAGGACTAATATCTGTCAATATCTACAAAAATCAAATTCTCTACCAAAGATGAAAGTAAACAAAATCAAATATATAACACAGTGATTCAACAATTACCCATATTATTGAATCCTCACCCCTTCTAGTGCAGTTACTATCTATCAATGTAGTAAGGTATTACAGAAACATTGACTATATTCTCCATGCTGTGCTACCATCCCCGTGACCAACTTACATTGTGATTATGAATTATTGTGCCCCTTTATCCTCTTCACCCGTCCACCCCAATCCTTTCCCCTTGGTTAACCACTAGTCCCTTCTTGGTTTCTATGAGTCTACTGCTTCTTTGTTCCTTCTGTTTTGCTTTGTTTTTATACTCCACAAACAAGTGAAATCCTATGGTATTTGTCTTTCTCTGCCTGGCTTATTTCACTGAGCATAATACCCTATACTCCATCCACGTTGCTGCAAATGGAAGGATTTCTTTTCTTTTTATGGCTGAATAATAATCTATTGTGTATATGTACTGTATCTTCTTTGTCCATTTATTGATTGATGGACACTTAAGTTGCTTCCATATCTTGGTCATTGCAAATAGTGCAGCAATAAACATAGGGGTGCATATGTCTTTTCAAATCAGGATTTTGTTTTCTTTGGGTAAATTTCTAGCAGTGGAATTGCTGGGTCAAATGGTATTTCTATTTTTAATTTTTTGAGGCACCTCCATATTGCTTTCCATAGCAGTTGCACAAATTTACATTCCCACCAACACTGTAGGAGGGTTCTCAGATGTAGTGCCTTTTTATAACCTACTTTTTGAAATCACGTATCATTATTTCTAACTTTATTTCTTATAAGTGTGTTTTTAAGTCTTGACACATTCAAGGCAAGAAGAACTGGACTCCAACTTTTCAAGGAAAAAATATCAAAGAATTTGTAGAAATATATTTAAAAGCAACACACTCAACAGTGATGCTTCCTTGATGAACTTAATGAATCTAACAGTGCTTAATTATATGTTTTTGTTTCTTTAGCTGGTTAACATCCTTAAAAGATTGGTACCTGCATCTACCTTAAATTCTGATGCTTTATTATAATTAGATACTCAAGTTATATATATGGTAAAACTTTTCCATTTTATTAGTAAGAAATATTTTTTGAGCAAACAAATTGGTTTATCTTGTCTGTCGACAGAATTAATCAGAATAAACTCAACT